GGGGGGGTATTAAGTAGATATTGTACTACACTATCGACACTAGTTTGGCAACTTTATATTATGCCAGAGACGTTTTTTCTGAGGTAAGGGGAGGGAGGGGGAAAATCCAAATACTTTTTACATTTCCCGCCTTTCACAGAAACGAGTTGTGGTGCCCGGAACGGTTGTAGTCTGAAAATGAGGCTTTCTTTACCCAGACATCGTCCGCTAGCTGCTCTACCTCGTCTTTGAGCTGGCTGGGAATGTACATGGGCTTCACGTTCGAGTCTTTGCGCGTGTAGCGGATGTTGGGGTCAAAGGGGTCAAACTCAAGGTCACTTGTGTCCACGCATTTGTCCCAGGGCCGACAGTACTCCACGTCAAAAGCGGGCACTGGTCCAAAAATAATTTTTAAAATGGTATAGGCATAACGCCACTATAAACACTACCTGTATTAGGTGGGCATTGTCAGAAGAAATAGGGCGATCACAATTGAAACAAAAAAACCAAAAGACCCCTAAAAACTAATTTAAAAATGAACAATTCCGAAGACACTCACACCCCCCCTAAAAAAACAACAAATAACAAAATAACAACAACCTACCCCCAGGGCCGCGTTACCCGTAAGGCTGTTTAGGCTGTAGCCTAGGGCCCCGCGCCTCAGGGGGCCCCGCGCTTGCAAACACGACGTTTAATTTTTTAAAATGTTTTTCAACAACAACAAAATTGTCCTCTTTTTGAATTGTTGTTGTTTGTATTGCTGTTGTTTTTACAGTTGTTGTTGTTGTTGTTGATGTTGATGAGAAGGATGTTGATTCTACCGCTGTTGCTGATTGGTTTCGGCTGCCTTATACTTTGTAACAGAAATACATGTAGATCTATAAATGTGCTTATATTATATACACACATTATCGGTGGATACCGGTAGGCCTACATGCAATCACGTTTTACAGTATAGCTTTCCATCAGTACGGGCTACAATGCGGTAGTATAAGTAGCATCAACGTCATCGAGGGGCCCAGGCTCCGCGGCTCATGGACAGCCTGGGGCCCCGCACTTAGTTAACGCGGCCCTGCCTACCCCTCCCTTTCCCTAACAAAATTGCACCCCTCATCCTCCTCCTCCTCCTCCTCTTCCCCCTCCCCTATAAAAATCCCTACCGAAACCCCAAACTATATGATGTATTTTTGTTTGTTTGAGTATGGAGAAAGAAGCACACTCGCTCGGACGGCATTTTCTTTCGTTCTGTCTCATTCTTTCTCTCTATTTTCTCATTGTTTCTTTCTTTCTTCCATTTTTCTTTCTTTCTTTCTTACATTCCTCTACAAGGTGTGACCTTCTGACCATGATCTCCACTCTTGTTTTAAGAGTTATGTTCTGTGTGCAGGTTGTACCGAACTGCTCTTTGATGTTGTCGTCTTGCCATATTATTATTCTTTCTGGTCTTCCTCTAGATCTTGTTCCTGTTTTTGATCTTCATTCCGTACCACTACAACTACTATATATTATTACTACTACAACTACTACTAAATACTTCTACTAAATACTACTACTACTACTATAAACACTACTACTACTACTACTACTACTACTACTACTACTACTACTACTACTACTAC